TCCTTTTTTTAAATATCTTTTTTAGATCAAAAGATATTGGCCTTTAAACTTTGTGTAGTCTTTAAGTGTCGCGCACTGTAGCTCTTTCTACATCGCACGATATGTAATTTATGACGTCATCATTTTAGCGTAAAAAAAAACCCCCTCATTTTTTTTGCCCTCGCGCTTCCCAAATGACAAAATTATCTGCTCTTTAAGCTTCAATTAACTCTATTTCCAAATAATTTAAATGTCTCCCACGTGAATCTGACGATTTTTTTTGGAAATTGATGCACCAGCCAATTAGACGTAGGTAGGCATGAGATTGATTTTATCACGAAATTGGAAATTTAACACGATAAAATAAGTTCATCATTAAAACTTAAAATTTCCTACTGACAATTTTTTTACATCATGACTTCGGTATCAGTTAATGACCACGAAACACAAATCCTCTATGAACTTCAAGGCATACTTCACGCTGTAGATTCAATGTTAAGTCGCATCTTCATATATAAAGCATTATAAAATTGGATTTATCGAAATTAAATTATTCAAATGTATATTCTATATGACATGATAGAAATCGTACTCTGACCAACGTCATTCAATTAACTTCATCTGGTGGAAAACTTTATGAATCGCAACGAAATGCCAAAATTGGAATAGAAGAATTAAAGAAAATCATAGAATCCAAAAATGAGAATAATGAGAATAATGAATAATGATAACAATAAACAATAGAAGGCAAGTATATATATTGTATATATTTGTTTACTAATCGTCATCTGTGGTATATTTTTTTCTAATTAATAAATTCTATAAATTACTTACTGTTTTAGCTTTAAACCTATTTTTAGACATAAGTTTTTGTTCTTATATCTTAACATTTTATCAAAAGAAAAATAAATTTTCTCTAGCACAACTTATATAAATCATAATATAGGCCTATGCGATGTTATTACCTGATCAGATTGTTTGTAAAGAGCGAAATAATCCTGCAAAAGATACGTGTATCAAAGTAGTGATGCAAATCGAAATCGAAATTAATTGATTAGTTGGTTAGTTGACAACTAATCGACTGAACTTTTTAGATACCAACTAATCGATTAATCGACTAATCGATTAGTTGCAAAGAATCGATTGAAAAATTATTTATTTACCTAATGAATTAGTTGCAACTAATCGATTTATTGATTATTTGACTAGTTACAACTAATCGATTAATCGAAGTCACATAGGGGTGACAAAAATTTGTAAATAATTAATAAATTGAGTTAATAAATGTCTTATGGATGTGCGTTAATAGAGATTAATGTTTTAGTGTATATTATTAATATTTGTTTTAGTGTATATTATTAATATTAATATTATTATTAAATTATTGATGAATTATAAATTATCATAAAGTAAGGTGAACTAATCTAATATTAGAACGGTCAAGAACAGACTAACTTGACGAATGGATATTATAAAAAAAATTTTTTTTCTATTTTTTTTGTTTCTAATTAAACTTTTAGGGTTAATTATAAAATTAGTATTTGTGTATTGAGATAGGATTTATGAATTTTTTTTTTCACTTAATTGTATAAGCTTTAGAATGATCTTAATAATTGAGCTGGGCACCAAAGTCCAGAGTAGTTTTAAAGATACGTTTTAACTGTATAATAAAATAATGTCATTTTCGTTGTATCCCATATTATACAAAGCATGTTCTACAACTTTTACCATTCCATTTGGTCCGCAAACAACAATTTTTCGATGCAAAAAGTTAATTCCAGAGCTTTTATCAAATAAAGGACTAATTTCTCTAGGTGCAAATTCAATTTCATTTTCATTATTTTCATTATCGTTATTTATCGTGTCATCTCCAGGAGTGGTAATTGCTAGTGATGATCGTGAAGTGGATGACTGTAAGTCACCTGTCCGTAACGCTGTAGGAAGAGCATTAAGGTCTATCGATAGTTGAGAATTCTTTTTAGATACTTCTTTTTGTAATGTGAATTTATTATTAGAATCATCATTTATTTCTCTGTCAAGTTGTAAAGAAGTTTTTGAACTTCTCATAGAAGACTGATTTCCATGAAAAGTTTCATTAATTTGTGACAGAGAGGAGACAAAAGATCGCTTTGAATTCTTTTGATCATCTTTGATATTATATATATCATTATATCCGACATAGCGTACGGAACTACTAAGAAAAATATTTCCAACATTTGAAGAACTTTGATATTGTTCAGGTGAATATGAAGTTAATTCACATCCCATTTTAGTTAGCCATTCTGATAATAAGTTCAAATCAATTATACCACTTAAACCTTTCCATTCTTCAGGTGGATTTGAAAGACAATATGTGACAGTAAGTTGTCCACGACTCGTGAGTGCTAAATCTTCGAGCAATATGCCATCAATTATATCTTCAACCGTGTCATTTGCATATAGTAAATTCATCCTTTTATAATGATCAACTTCATTAATTTGCTTTGATGATTGTTCTAAATGATACTTTATTAACTAACATACAATAATTACAATAATTATATTAATTGAATTATAAAAAAAATTTTTTTATTAACATGCATATTATTAGAATAATTTTTAACTACCTGCAACATTGGTGTTACGCCAGTACCTCCTAAATGCATATAAGCAAAAAAATTAATTATGGTTTATTTAAGACGGAATGAAGGAATGAAAAAAGTTTACCAGCAATCATGTATAATTCATTCCAACATCCATCAAGGCCATTCGGATTTAATAAGGAACCTTTTACAGCAAATGGTAATATTCTAGTATAAGGAGATAATTTGACATCAAATGGACCACGGACTAAAATTTCATATCCTAACAGTTGTTTATTCTGAAATATCATAAGGAAATGTCAAAAAAAAAAGTTTTTTTTTTTAAAAAAAAGTAATTTAAATATATACATACCAAATGCCGAGATAAAAGTCCATTCGGATAAATCTTAACGTAAATCGAAAATGATTTCGAAAATTTGCCTTCCAATGGACAATATTTTCTTGTCACCATCTGACCTTTTACTTTGGCAAATAATTCAACGTAATTTCCTGGATAAAATCTCATATTATCATCATTACTATGTTGATAAATTTTAGTGAAAGTAAATCTCATCACAGGAATTTTATCATTTACATTAACCATCGCTTTACTAGTAAGCTTATAACGGTAAAATTTGATATGCTCCATATTAGAAGGTAATTCATCGTCATCACTAGATAATGAATTGATTTGACTATCAATGGATGTTGCCATAGAAAATCTATCTGTTACATAATCTTTTTCAATTCCTTCAATTTTAGCTATAACCATCGAAGCCATCGTTTGAGTTGCAAACCTGCTATGAGTATGTTGTGCAATAGGAGCTTTTAAATAATATTTTGAATTAAGAATATCAATGAAAGTAGCAAATGTGTTCTTTTTTTGAGGAGTATATTTCCCTTGAAGATGATAAATATATTTAAATATCATGGAATTTTTCTTGGAAGGTTCTTCGGTTAATAATAAAGGTGTCTCTGGTGTATCAAATTCTTCAGTGATTGAAATATCTTGATGCATATTGTAAAAATCTGTAGGTGGAAAATGCGTGTTATAGTTTTTTTTTTTGTATAGTTAAATAAAAATATATTAATACTGTAATCTTTGAAATTTACCGTTGGTAATATCAGACCCAACAACCTAATAGTTTATAAGTTATTATTATTATTATGTGTGAAAACAATAATTATAATTCGCTTCGCGTATTGTGACAATTGAACATTACAAACCCTTTTAATTATATGGCCTCCACCTATTAAATTTGTTAAATTCAATTGTTTAAATAAATTAAATAAATTTATCATTTTTCTTAGATAATTAAATAAAAAAAAAATTTTTTTCTAACCTGGATGAGAATCAATCCATTTGTGAACATCAATTACATGTCCATCACAAACAACAAGATTAGCCTAAATAATACCCATTTTATAAATTAATAATAAATTTTTTTGAATTAGAATAAATTAATTAAAACTTACACCACTATGAACACGTTGATTAAATTCTTTCCAGGTAAACTTTGGCAATTTGTCATAATCTTCAATGCTAATATGAGTGTGTATCATAGTTTTTTTATCATTTATAGTTTCATCTTTGGAACAGGACCGGTTAAAATTTATATCATAATTCCATTTGAGTTCAAAATATACGAAACAAGCGATGATAATAGATATCCAGCAAAAGAAGCCTATTTGTAACGGTGACATATCACTATTAAATAATATGATTAAGAAAATACATAAAATTATATGAGAAAATTGGTCAGAAAAGAATTTTTTACTTTTGCTATAAAGCAATAAAAAAATAGAGTTCTTTCGAACATTACTTGTTCACTAATTATTACCCGAAAAAATTAGCTTGCAAAAGAAATAACCACATAATAAATCGACTATCAAAGAGAATTAAATCATGCTTTTGTAACAGTAAGGCGTAGCAGTCACGGAGAAAGTCATATTTCTTTTTAATTCACATTTGTTTTTCATACACGAAATTATAGTTTAATTTCTTGATGCTGACCCAAATTAATTTACCACAAGTACATACAATTGCCCATCACTATTTGTTATTTACTTCTCTTATGCCTTTTATACAGTACTTGATGCTATATAGAAACTTAAATTCTAGAACTTATTATACTTACTAATCGTAAGTTTTTTTGTAAGCATCCATTCCTGAATATACATATGTCAATATATAGAAATGAATAAATCTGATTATGTATGCATATTAATTGCTTACCTAGATATATATTAACCCTGTTTTTTTTACATTAATTAATTGAATAAAAATGTATAGTGTTAATAAATATATATGTCTGATGGCTTATTTGATGAAATGCATTCCTTATTCCCTTACATACTGTATATGGAAAATAGCCAAACAAATAAAGTCATATACTGTATGTATAACATATATCATATGATTCTTATATAATTCAATAAACCAAAACTTGTCATACATTAAATAAATTTTCTTTTCTTTGAAAAATAGAATGCATTAAATCAAATAATCACTATTAAACTTTGATTATTACCATGATAACAATATTAGTGTAACTCCCGAAAATTTATGAACCCGTTTTATAAATCTTGGATAACCCTAATATAAATTAGTAATTTAAGTTAGTGCATAATAATAAGTATGTACCGGTATGTACTTATTCAAAATACCTTGTTAATTGATACTAGAGCTTTTTGTCCCCATGTAATTAATAGACCAGAGCCTAGAAAAAAAAAGATTAACATCTAGGATTTCATAATTATAAAATAAACTTTTATTTATTACTTATTATGGCGTATGACAAAGTAAAAACTGTTAAAGCAACCCTGAATTTGTAAACAGTATTTAACAAATAATTTTGGGTTAGAGCAAAATAAAAGAAAAATACAAAATAAAAAATACCAATAGTGTGCATTAACATGGTTTACAAAGGTAGCAATGGATAGACACCCAAAAGCCGAGATAGAAATACCACCCGTAATCTGTAAAAATCGGTGGGCTTTAAGATGCAGAGGATGATTCTATTTGAATAAAAAAGATTTTATTTTAGTGTTATAATATTTAATATGAAAATGAAAATTGTTGATATAATACTTACTTTGTAGTATCGAACAATGAAAACTGAAAGCGGAAATAGGATGCTAAATAATATTAAACATTAAATACGTAGTATTATAACTTTTTTTTTGACACTATATTTTTTCATACCACCAAGTAACAAACATTCCACAGGCATGAGCAATTCGAACAATTCGGCCACTACCAACCCAATCCAAACTCTTCCAATCAATACCCACTATATTATAAAATAGGCTTTAGAAACCATTCAAAAACATATATGGATTTTAGAAAATTTATTTTAAAAAATAGAATTACATACTTGCAATTAATTTTATTAAATGTTTTTTCTTTCCCAAAAGATAGATAGCAGTGCCATGAATAATACTATATATTGGTAAATTGGTATACTGATTAACATAGCATTTTGACGAGCAAAGATATTTGCATTCGTTTTTAGATATATAGTATATTTCGCATGCACTGTACATCAAAAAGTTTAAAATTAAACTTTTTTATTTTTTGAAATTGGATCGGTCAAATGTATGTGCCTTATTAGGACAATTTTTATAAAAAAGAAAAGACACTTAAAATGGAAAAAAACTACGAAATCATGCAAAAATCAAGAGTAATTATCATTATCATTTAATGACAAAAATTATCATTATAATTTAATGCCAAAAATTATCATTTATTCTTATTTATGTTTCAAAATTGTGATTGGTTAATATTAAGGTGCCATGTCGCCATAGTACCAGTCTTTAGCAGTGCCTTTAGTTGAATCTTTATCTTCAACAATATTTTCGATCGCTGGAAGTAAATCCTGTAAATTTTCATCATCTTTAAGATTTTTTACATAGTCTTTAAGTTCATAAATGGAAGCTTCATAATATCTAAATATTTTAAATTACATGTTAGCATAGAGATAATATTTGCAATACAAATAAATTAATTAATTACAAAATTTCCGGAAACCAATTTTTTTTTCTTCTTTGATAGGGCAACATCAAAAAAAGTTCGATTTCAGCTATTATCTAACAATAATAATATTTATTTATAACAATTTCTTTAAATTATAATTTAAATTAATAAACATCTAGGCATCTCCCACCGGGACATATGTCTCACACGGGAGATATATTTCTCCAACCAATAGCGAGCCGTGCTTTTCGTGTAACGTAACACGATCGAGAAAGACGTCCGTTTTAACAAAAAAGTTTCCTTGAGCGATTTTGACATCATCCCTAGCACTTAACCCCAACCTAAATGAGCATAAAAAATTTCGGTCCATGGGAGATGCCTATAATTTCCCTAATTTAAATTATAATTAGGATATTTTGATTGAAATTTTTACCTCTCCTCTTAGTTGAAAAAAAGATTCTTCATTATATGTTGCATGAATAGCATTTCCAAGTAACGAAATAAACAGGTTCAATAAATAAATAGTTGTAAAAAATGAAAATACAACTAATAAAAATGCCAAAGTCCAATTATTTTTTAAAACCCATGAAGAAATTGCACTCGTATCACCTAAAAAATAAAATAATAATAAATAATCCTTTTTTTTTTTTGACATATAAATTATATATTTTGTTCAAATTATTATTATTAAAATTATTATTCATACCTGTTAGCATAAAATATACTGCTAAAAGAGAAGTACTAAACCATGCAAATAGATTTGTATTATCATTAGGTGTTTGAACAAGTGAAGAATTTTCAAAAGTATTATTAGATGAAATAAATTTATAAGTTGGAACAAGATTCCAAGGATTATTAATATCATCAGTATTATTTGGTTGATCATAAGAAATTTTGCTAGTAGGTCTTAACAATATATGTAAAGAATGAGCAAAGGCAAAAACCATAACACCTAAAACAACAAGAAATGAAAAGATTTGTTGTGCTACATCTATTATAATTGCAAAATATGTTCCAAAATATTCTAAAGCACGAAAAAATAATAAAAATTTAATTTCAAGTAAAAAAGTAGAAATAGTTATAATCCATACTACTGGTGTTTCGTCATATAACCATAAAAATGAAGTTGTCATTGGAAAAAATATTGCTGCAAGATCTATAATACAATTAAATTATAATTTTTTTTTTTTTAATAATCATATATATATAATATTGTATAAAATCAAATTATTTATAGGTTATTTATAAGTTAAATATATACCAATCCAATTCCAAGGGCTAGTAATATAGTGTATTGGATTATGAATACACTGATGAGCCTCAAAAATTAAATGAATCAATCCAAAAAAAAATAGTAGCTTCTAAAAGAATCACTTGATAATGCCAAGAAATATCATCTGAAATTGTTGCAACTGTTAAAAAACAACTCATAAAAATTAAATGCATTGCCCAAATTATAAAATAATAGCGTCTTCCATAAGTTTTCCACTTGAAGTTAATAAGAGCTTGAATATTCCACCATTTATAATAATCTGATTCAAGTGAAATAAAGTCATTATTACGTACATAAAACATTTCAAGATAAGAATATTCTTGAGAGTACGTAGCAAAATTCAATAAAGGAAACATCAATTTTACAGTTTTTTGCCGACGAATAGTAAAATAAGCAAGTAAGGAGTTACTAAAACTGTATAAATTTTATAATCCTTCTCTTTTAAAATGGTCCATTTTTCAGAAATCCAGAAAGATAAGTAATCAAATAATGAAGTAACAGATGATCATAAATTCCACAATGTTGAAGATGAGGTGAAGAAGAATTTCTATCTATAGCTTTATTATAATTATCGGGAACTAATAAATTAATTCTAGATAAAAATTTCTCAGTAACTTCTAAATCTTCGTTGTATTTTTCTAATGTTACTAGTGTCAAAGCAATTTGACTTATAAAGAACATAAAATTATAAATATCGCCATTCCTAAATTTTATCAAATCATATTCGAAACATTTATCAAATAATTTCTCAGTTTTCATTGTTTTGTTTCCTTGAATTAATTGATCAAATATATCTTTTCCATATAATTTTGCTGCCAATTCGTCGTTTAAAATATAATCTACATAATCTATCAATTCAATTTTTAATTTATCAGCATTTTCAATAAGAGAATTAAAGGAAGTAAGAAGTTTCTCCATTAATTGTTGGGCAGTTCCTGCTTCTATCTTAGACTTATCCTTCCAAAAATAGATTAAACTAGGTGTTTCTTCTTCAAAATTTACTGTATAAATCCGTATGCAATCCGAGAAAATAAATATAATATCTCTATTTTCAAGCACTTTGCTTTCTAAAATATAACCTTTTCCATTATCATCAGGTGCCCAAGCCTCTATTTCACGAGTTTGAATCTCATTATTACTGGCTTTTAAAGTTGTTGTATGATAATTTTCCCAATCATTATCAGGGAGTATATTTATAATCCAGGTGTATGACTCTCCATAAGGTAAACTTTTTGGTTCTTTTGAATTCTCGTAACTCTGAATTAAATTTTGATCTGACTTAAACTTCTCCAAAGTAGTCTGTATAAATTGCTT